TTTCTACGGTTTCATAGGTAGCTTTTGCAATGGATTCTTTTCTAGATTTTGCGGATTGGTGGGTTGAGATTTATCTAGACCAGATGAGGAGGGTTGGTGGGCGAAGTGTCTTGAAGTTTTTTTGTGAGGAAGGAGGAAAAAGTTTCAGCAATATTTTTTTAGTTCTTGGCCTAGGAATAGTTCGATAGTGCCTAGTTCTATTTATTGTCATCTACATCGTCCCTTTTGAGCTTCTTTTCACTTGTACCGTGTATCACCGCTCTCTCCACTTTAACATTTCATTTCATTTCATTTCATTTATTGGACGTGCGATAGCACATAGAACATAAAACAGGACAAAACTAAATGTTAAAAAAACAACACAAAACATAGAAAAAACCAGCTCAGATAAAAACCGATTAAGTTGCTTCTAAGCTCACATATGCAGACAGTAACTACAACACTTCAAATGAAATCACCATGCAACATGAGCCATGCGTTTACGACCCCCCCCCTCCATCGCGGGCAAATACGACCCCCCCGTTGTGATGATCACAAAAATGGCGTGCCCTGGTTGCAGAATTGGGGGTATCTTGGAGGAGCGTTAGGAACGAACCGATCTTGTTAACTCCGCCAAAGCGGTAGACGGGAGGGGAACTAGCGAAATCGATTCGTATCTGGTCTGAGTGTTATGTGTGAGGAAGTCCTTATGACGAGAGACGGACAAGACAATCGCAGTTTGTCGCGTGTTCGCGCGCGGCGTGCTGAGCGGCAATTCGCGGCGAACTCTCGACGTGCCTCTGCACGTCGATTGGAACAGCGACACTTATGAATTCAAGCAGTGGCAAAACTTCATGACGGGCGATATCAGTTTTTTCATCCTTTTGACATTCATGGATACAGGACAACTCGTCCGTCGGGCGCGACGTTACCGCCATGCCCACCAGCCCTTTCAAGTTTTTTTTTTGATTTATTGGACATGTCGACAGAACATGTAAAAGGAAAAAAACAAGCATAACGAACACCCAGCAACAGGTAAAACATTGATAACGTAAGGATCATTTAAATATACTCACCAACATGTTTCTTGAAAGTGGCATACTTAGAAGGAAATATATTAGAACGCAATAAGAATTGAAACAGGAGCACTCTCTAC